TACGGACATTATCCAGCTTTGCCTTTACTTTTTCTATATGTTCCTTCCCAAGGACATCAACAAATTTCCTTCTCTCATAATCAGCATTCTTGGTACTATTGCTAGATTCCAAGTACTCAATGAGTCTCACACCCTCTTCTGAATTTCTAGTGTTGAAGTTTCCTTCACTAGCTGTGTCTAGAGCCATCTGATACTGCAAAGCGATGCCTGTGTAGAAAGTGTTAAGCAGTTGCACTTCATTGAATCCGTGGTGTGGACAATCTCTCTTAAAAGATTTGGATCTGATCCAAGAGCTCTTGAATGATTATGTAGGCTCCTGTGTGAATGTAGCAATCTTGCTCCTCGAGTCTTCAGCACGTGAATCATCAAAGAAATTACGCAAGAATTTGTTTTTATCTCTGCCCAGAATGTAAGAGATCCTAGTGGTAGCTGCTTAAACCAATGTGAAACTTCTCGAGAAAATGAGTACTTGAAGAAGCTTGGATATTAGATAGTTCGCAGGGACCCCATTAGCTTTAATAGAAGATATAAGATCCTCGAACCTCTCCAGATGATCCATAGGATGCTCGTGAGATAACCCACATTAATCTGTTTATCCCACGAGTGTGTAGTACTGGGGCTTCAGCTCGAAATCGTTTCTCTGAATCGCTGGAGGGCGTATAGCTGATCTTTTGGCATAGCACTGATCTGGAAGGTTGTAATCATCCAATGTTCTAGGTTGAGTAGCCTCATTTGGAGGGTCTGCAGCTCCTGCAACCTCAGTGTCAGGTTCAGGGGTTATAGTCCCCTGAGCATCTATCCTTTGACCTGCTGCATTATGCAGATGACCTTTCTGGTCATGCAGGTTTCCATTCTCGTTGTGTCTGAGAATCAGTGTCGCAACCATGTTTCTCGCTTGAGTATCTATCGATGCCCCGATGGATGTGTCGATCAATTTCAGAGGAAGAGTATCAGTCGACAGTAGAGTAGTTTTTGTCGACAGTCTGGTGGAAAAATTGATCGATGAACGAGTGTTGCTATCGAGCGATGCAGAGCGTCTTTCTTTTCAGATTGAACGTTCCAAGCTAGTAGGATCTTCTGAGAATAGCAGTGATTTTTCGTTATTGCTTGTGATACTGCTGGGCATGCACCTGAAAGANGAGGAAGAGTATCAGTCGACAGTAGAGTAGTTTTTGTCGACAGTCTGGTGGAAAAATTGATCGATGAACGAGTGTTGCTATCGAGCGATGCAGAGCGTCTTTCTTTTCAGATTGAACGTTCCAAGCTAGTAGGATCTTCTGAGAATAGCAGTGATTTTTCGTTATTGCTTGTGATACTGCTGGGCATGCACCTGAAAGAACAAAAGAAAAAAAAATTCTTAGAAAGCAAGTAAAATGAAATAAAAATAAAATAACTTAGACTTAAGATTAAATCTAATGGTGGTCAAAGCTCCCCGGTAACGGTGCCAAATTTAATATCACTCAAATTAACCTAAGGAGTGAATTACTCTCTCAAATAAGAGGTTCAATTGTGATAATTAGGGATCGAATCCACAAGAAACTAGGGTACGTAATAGATCTAATCAGGATGATTAAGCTAAGTCGAAAGTGTTTAAATTAGAAAACAGTTGAACAAGGTAGTTGTTCGGTTGGTTTGAAATGGGTTTGTAACGATATTAGAAAGTAGCTAGACTTAGGGTTTCTATTCAGGTAGTCAAGATTATAGAGATAAAGGTGCTAAGTTGGAGGATATATTAGAGCTCAACTAGAGTACATGCCATCAGCGTGTCGCACTTTATTGACTAGATCTACTGGTCTCGGCTGTTGCATGTCGACCAATAGAAAGAGTCGATCGATGACTCTATAGGAGTATCGATCGATACACCTTTCGCAAACGTCGATCGAATATTCAATATGAATATTGATTGATCGGCTCCTAACCAAGCTTTATGCGTGGGTTGATTAACTACTCACTAGGTTCCAAGATCATCTGTCGTTTTTTTTCTAGCAATCCTAGTTCAAATAAGACTAGTTCAGATGACAGACCAAGTGGTCGCATTGTATCTAATCATTCTAACATCAGAGTTCTAGTTAGCTACTCTAGAACACAAGCATTAAGATCAATCCTATTGATGAACACTACAACTTAATAATTATATATTTGNACTACTCACTAGGTTCCAAGATCATCTGTCGTTTTTTTTCTAGCAATCCTAGTTCAAATAAGACTAGTTCAGATGACAGACCAAGTGGTCGCATTGTATCTAATCATTCTAACATCAGAGTTCTAGTTAGCTACTCTAGAACACAAGCATTAAGATCAATCCTATTGATGAACACTACAACTTAATAATTATATATTTGAGGCTAATCTCTCATAACATATTTAAACCCTAAATCTAACAGTAGAGCTACTCAGACATATGATACGTGCTCAAATTTCTCTAAGGAGCGACTTTACTCTCTAAAATAAGGGATCAGTTCTAGTACTTAGGGATCGAATCCACAAGGAGCTAGAAAACCACTGATACACTAAAACTGAACCTTTCCTACTGTCAAGTTAACAGCGATAATTGTAATATTTATGATTCAATTCAGAGGACCAGTTCAACCTTTAATTCTATTAGTTTTCTACCAAGCTAAAACTCAAGTGATTATAGATTGGTTTGTAACAAGCAAATAAAATAACAATTGCAGAATTATGAATTTAAGATTAAAAGAGCTGCTCTAGGGTTTCTCATCGGATGTTAAAGTTGAGCCAAACAATTATTCAAGCACAAAATAGCACAATCTAGAACTCAGAACACACAGATAGAACATCCATTGTCGTGGTACTACTCCGCTTGTAGATCGGTCTGAACACCTAGACTCTCGATTGAGCTCAGATAAGATAACAATAAATAGAGGTCAAGTCCAATAGGTTCATCTACTACCCCAGTATCTGCTCTCGCTGGCTGGGAATGCTAGATTCATTCACCCAAAAATCAGGTTATCTACTATACGGTTAATGAGTAGAATCAGCCTTAGATCTAGCGATAAGTGATCAAGTTAAAGCAAGCATTAAGAACTGAATGAAGATACAATATGATTGCTTATCTACGTTTAGCTCATGCGACTAACATCCTAGAACCCTAGACAAGCGAACAAGTACTCAGCCATAGAACAAGATGCCAAAGACATAATAACTGAATGATACTGCATAAAATTCCAAAGTGAAATAGATAGGGTTCATGACGATCTTCTTGTCTAGAAGAGTGGCTGTCTAAGGTTTGTCTTCAAAAGATATTGAAGTTTCCATAAATATCGGAAGCAGTCTTCTGTTGCTCCGTATGGATTGCTCGCGCTAGGGAGCAAGCATCTGACTACTCCATATGATTGCTCCGCAAGACAAGACTCTGATTCTTACATCCTTCTTCATGCACTTTCCTTCAGCTCCATAGCCTTCTAGATGACCTGAATTGACTCAAAACGATTGGGCTGACTCATAAAACACTGAAAACCAGTTGGAAAACATATATACTTTAGTGCTAAAAACACTATATATCAATTTCCCTAGACTTAGATCCTTGTTTGTCCTTGAACAATGACAACTATCCAGAACAAGGAGAAAGATTTGATAGAGTGGGAACTCTCCTGTTTTCAACAACCATAATCTTACCACAAATCTCTGAACCATGCAAACTTCAACTAAGACCACACACTCTTCTCAGAATCCTCACTGATCGCTGTTCAAAGATCGGCTCCATACTCTACATCTCCAACCTGAAAAGGTACACTATCGAGACCAAACTCCCTACATTCATTAAGGGTGGCGTGAGTGTCTCATCATGAGCACTATTTAGGGTAGACGTGTAGGTGTAGAACAGGCTAATTTCAGTTTTTAAAGTGGAGCTAAAACGTGTTTAGGGTTTACCATGAATTTGTAGAGGATGCACGATATCGTGCAAAATTGCAAGAGAGGATGGATCCATTGATCCCCACAGACCCCACTCGTTTTCTCTGCAGAGAAGTCGCTTCTGGTTCCTGTTTTCTTTGACAGATTACTCCCTTTTCCAGATCACCCTTGTTCACACTGATCTCTTTTACTTCAGCTTTTGTTTCTCTGACTGACCATGGCACTGTTTTCCTTTTCGTTCTTCTCCTTCTCATCATATTTCAGAACTCTTGGGATTTAAATAATACTGAAGATTTTTTTTTTTAATAACTGAATGAATGAATGATGAGTTCAGATGATGATGATGACGAGAAGGAGGTAATTACATATAGTGTGCCCCTGCTGGTTCTGACTTTAGCACTTCTTTCACCATTTTGTCTTTTCTGCTCGGATCACTCCTACTGACTGCTCTCTTCCTTGCGGATCATGTGTGTCTATGCTCTGGAATGTAGTCTGTGAGAAAAACGAGTGAGAGCTGTGTTGATCCTTTCCTTTCCGGCCCTTTTGCTCATATCTGCACATATGAAACTTAAGAATAGAATGCATGAGGTCAGAACAATGGTCTAAAGGTTCAGGGTGGGAACTAGTTAAAAATGAGCTAGCCACTCAGGATCAGCAAGATGGATGGAAAGAATTAAGAAGTCCTGAGTGTAATCTCGTTTCCCTAATCTACTGCTCATAACAAGAGGAATTATAGTCAATATTAGGTTAAACTAAGGTTGAGTTAAGTCTACCCAGCATAACCTGATCAGGTGGGAACTTCTGGAGATTCAAATGAGATAAGTCAGGAGTGTTCCAGGTCCGAGTGTGGGTCTTTCGTCTCTGTTAAGCTCACTGAATAAGAAAGTTTGAGCACGAGGTGGTTAAATGATCATCATAAAACAGGGTCCTAATTCCCATAAAACTAACTCGAAGAAAACACAAGAAAACTGAAAAGATTAGTATGACACAACATTTGCTCCCCTAGACTTAATTCACACCATCCCCGCAGTGAAATCAAGTAGGCGAAGGCTCAAATACACAATAAATGAAAAGAGATAAAATAAAAAGTTCAGATGGATAAGACAGAGGTGAAGTGGGTAGGCGGATCAGGCCGAGTCGTCACTCTCGGAGCGACCTCCGCGCTTCCTGTTCCGCGGAAGCCTTCCGTCGGTAGCAGCTGTGGTTGCTAGTTCCTTGCCTGGAAGGTGGCTGTGCTGTGGTGTCTGCTCATGTTCCTGCTCTGGTGTCTTCGCAGACTGGCCTCCAAAGCAACCGCCCATGATGTTTCTAAGGATCCTCTTCATGAGGCTGTTGTTCTTGCAGTGGGAGTCAACTACCGAACAGCGATAATTTGCGCTGTCAGCTTCTACCTCTGCGTCATCTAGGTCATCGAGATCGTACTGGGTCCCTAAATCAGAAGGTGCTGCTCGCGGATCACGGCAGAGGAACTCCAGAGCAGGCAGGAAGCGGATGTTCTCGATTTTTGTGAAGTTGGTGAGATCAGGCTGAAGAAGCTTGCAGTAGAGAACAGTCCCCTCCTTGTTTGTGAACTGTTAAGTGTTCTCATCGCGGAGAATGTGGCACCCAATCAGATAGGCAACATCGACATACTCTAACTCGGTGTTGCATTCGTACTTTCTAAGGTGGATGCCAAAGAACTTGAAAAGGCGGTGAGCAGGCTGCTGCAGCGGTCCTTCTTGCTGTCCGACCTTATCAAACAATCGCTCCGTGTGGAGAACATCTCTATTAGATGAAAGCCCGGGTTTGTGCGCACTGGTTGGAGTGGCACTGCTCTGTCTCTGCGGAGCTCGTCCTCGATGCCTGAGTAGAGCAGCTGGAGCTCTCCATTCGTCACCTTGGAGGTGGACACCTTAGCGAACAGCATGTTAGATAACATCTTGGCAATGATCCTCAGCGTAGGGTTCCTGATGTGCGACTGGTAGGCCCTGCGTGACACGAAGGTGCTGTTAGCGATGAGGTTCCAGAAGTTATTGGATGGATTGAACTTCTTCTCGACTGCCACTTCCTTGGGGTCTTCTGGTATCTCGTAGAGCTTGTTCAGCTTGTCTATGGACAAGGAGCAGAATTTTCCATCAGCCATGAAGGTGAAGGAGCAATTCTCATAGGTCGGAACTGATGGATCCTCATACACGACTTGAGCTGTAGCGAGCACTTGCCTAACAAGGTCGGGGTATAGCTCGTGTGGTGAAAAACATAGGGGAGCAATCCCCATGGAATGAAGTGTATCGTACAAATATGTATCCACTCTTAGAGCCGCCAGTGTGGTCTTATCGCCAAAACATGTTGGGAGGATTTCAGCGTTGAGGTTGAGGAGCTGATTGTATCGAGCCGCTGATTCCTTGTCTCAACCTTCACAGTTGAAGTCGAGCAATTGAGAATATTCAAGGTTGAGCGGCTCTCCTTGATGGTCACGCGGCCAATGGTAGGAAGATGGAGCGCTTCGGTTTGGTGGAGGAACGTAGTTCGTCCGGGTCACCTTGGGAGTTTTGACTGATTTTATCTTCATCATGGAGGCATCTGTAATAGCAATAAAACCATGATATCAGTTCAATTCGTGAGTTGCTACGAAAGATAATGGAACGATATGGTGAAACTCAGAATGGCTCAGTCCAAACTCAAACTAGCAATCCGGTTCACCGCAAACTCAACAAATCAAAGCGAAACAAATCTCAACCCTAATAAGTTTAATTTCTCAAAAAGTACTAACAACAGAAGGAGAGATCTTGACCGATTAATTATGGAACCAAATCAAGAACTATCGAGTGTAGAGAATTCAAGTAGCAACCCCCAAACGTGAGAAGTAAAAATCGCATACAATCAAAATCATTTCTTCCCTAATTTCGTTTCTATCAAGTACAAGAAGTGATCTATTCAAGCGAAAGGCCGCAAAAATCGATCAACACATTTCAGGGGAAGAACTCCCAAATCGCGAATCGCGTGGGGTAGGGAGTGAGTCGCTTACCTTGCAAGTGGAGAAAATAGAATGATAATAAAACTCAACAAGTCGATGATTAGCCTCAAAGATCGCCAAAGGAAATTGAGGAAGAAGATAATTAAGTTTAGGGTTCTTATTTCTCTCGAGCAATGTACGGCGTGAGAGGAGAGAAAGTGGGAAAGTGGTGACTGGGTTATCCTTATAAAGGTAAACCTTAACCGTTCCCTCTCCCCTTTTTTATTATTTTATTTTATTTTATTTTTTGGGTCCGAGATACTTACCTGGGAGCAAGCGCCTTGATTGCTCCGGGTAGGGAGCGAGCACATAGACTGCTCCGGTTGATGAATCCGGGTTTTCTCATTAAGTACCTGAAAATAAATGTCTAAAAAAATAAAAACGAGAGAAAAGCAATTATTTACACTTACCAGTGGGTTGCCTCCTACCAAGCGCTTGGTTAAAGTCACTAGCTTGACTTTGTTAGCTGATCAGGCCGAGGAGGGGTCGCTTAGAGGAATCTCTTCTCCTTTAGCGATGGTTGTGTCAGCTAGGTAAGGCTTCAGTCGCTGACCGTCGACAATGAATTCCCCTCCATTTGTGTCCAGCAAAACAATCGCTTCATAAGGTCGAACCTCCTTGATAGTGAATGGCCCGGACCATCTGGACTTCAATTTTCCATGGAATAGCTTCAATCTGGAATTAAAGAGCAAGACTTGATCATTTGGCTTGAAGTCTCTGCTGATGATCCGCTTATCGTGATAAGCCTTAGTCTTCTGTTTATAAATCTTGGAGCTTTCATAGGCAAGGTGTCTGATTTCCTCAAACTCATGTATCTGAATGGTGTGCCTTTCCTTGGCCGATTTGATGTCAAATTTAGCAAATTGACTTCTCAAGCCGCCTTGTATTCAAGCTCAACCGGAATATGGCACGCCTTGCCGTAGACCAGGTGATAGGGAGTTGTCCCCAGTGGTGTCTTGTAAGCTGTTCAGTATGCCCATAAGGCATCATTTAGTTTCAGGGACCAGTCCTTGCGGGTTGTTCCGAAAGTTTTGTGCAGGATGCTCTTGATTTTCCTGTTGGAAACTTCCACTTGACCGCTGATTTGAGGGTGATATGCTGTAGCCACCTTATGTTTTACACCAGTCTTCTTCAATAGTCCTTGGAAGATCTTGTTGATGAAGTGAGTGCCCCCTTTGCTTATGACCACTTGAGGTACTCCATATCGAGGAAAGATGATGGACATGAAGAGTTTGATCACAACACGCGCATCATTGGTAGGGCTGGAAATCGCTTCAACCCACTTGGAGACATAATCCAATGCAACGAGAATGTACTCGTTTTTGTAGGAGGGTGGGAACAAAACCATGAAGTCTAATCCCCAACAGTCGAACACTTCAATATTGAGTATGAAATTCTGAGGCATCTCAATTCTTTTGCTGATGTTCCCTTGTCGCTGGCATGAGTTACACTTAGATATGAATGCATGGGCATCTTGGAACATGGTAGGCCACCAGAAACCGGCTTGGAGGATCTTGGAAACGGTTTTGAACGTTGCAAAGTTCCCAGCGTAGGAGGAAGCATGGAGAGTATTCCAGGTATCTCATCCTCTGGAACACAGCGTCGGAACACTCCATCTTTGCAGTTCCGGTAAAGGAATGGATCATTCCAAAAGTAGTGTTTTACATCTCTGAGAAATTTTCTCTTCTCATTCCCAGTGAACTCAACAGGTTCCTTTTCAACAGCCAGGAAATTGACTATCTCTGCGAAACAAGGTAAATGATAGTATCGCTTCTTGATCGTGGCAACGCAGTGATCTGATTCCTCAGAGCAATCGTCATCAGCGGTAGTCAAGTTGCTCTGGCCGTACAGACCAATTGCACAGATGTGCTCATGTGGAGAACTGTCATCGAGAGCAGTCTCTTCATCAATTCGCATTCTGGAAAGATGATCCGCAACTCCATTTTCAATAACCTTATTGTCCTTGATCTCAAGATCAAACTCTTAAAGCAACATGATCCATCTTAGAAAGCGTGGTTTGGCATCTTTCTTGGTCAACAAGTATCTTAATGCGGCGTGATCTGTATGAACGATCACCTTAGATCCCATCAAGTAAGACCTAAACTTCTTGAAAGCAAAGACAATGGCTAGGAGCTCCTTTTCGGTGGTGGCGTATCTGCTCTAAGCTTCATCCATTGTCATGTTCGCATAGTAGATCACATGAAACTTATTGTCTTTTCGCTGCCCCAGGACTGGTCCTACTGCAAAATCACTTGCATCTGTCATTATTTTGAAAGGGAGGTCCCAGTCCGGAGGTTGAACGATCGGAGCACTGACTAAGGCTCCCTTCAATGTGAGGAAGGCAGCTAAACAATCACTGTCAAAGGCAAACTGAGTTTCCTTGCAGAGCAGTCTGGTGAGTGGTCGAGCGATCTTAGAGAAATCTTGTATAAACCTCCTCTAGAAACCAGCATGCCCCAAGAAACTCATGATTCCCTTGACTGTCGTTGGTGTAAGACCTGAACCCGGCCGTCTAGGCCGCGGTCAAAGCCTCACGTCGCTTGGTCCTTTTTCGGACTGAACCTCAAAATTTCTGCCCTTTATTTAAAACATCGCCCATAGGCAAGGGCTAACTCAGACCTTAGCTCAAGACTACCCTAGTCATTTACTAGCTTAGGTCAATTCAAGTTATGCACAGCGGAATATTGTCTACTTATCCATTGGTCTACAACCAATCAAGAACTTGTCTGGTCGAATCACCTTTGCTTTGGTTAGTATTCTCAACTACCACTAGCTCCAAGGTCGATCCTGAACCCAACCCAAGTCATACAAATCCGAGGTTCCATTCCCCTAAACCATTCTAGCTAGAACTAAAAGAAAGTAGCTAGATCATACCTTTGCCACATCCACAGAGCTTGTTAGCTCATCGGTCAGCTGACCTAGTCAGCTCATCCTCCTAGCGGATTAGCTAGCTCATACTCCTAGCTGACTTAGCTAGCTCGTCCAGCTCAACGAGCTGATACACCTAAGCTAGCTGAAACCGAGCTATGGACAGCTACCTCAGATTTTTTAGCTAGCTCATCTAGCTATCTAAGCTGAACCACTTCTCTTGAGGTTGCATCTAACCTCATCCAGCTGATCGAGCTATAAGATAGCTGCGCCCAGCTTCCTGCCAACTCGTCCAGCTCTCTTACACCTGCATAAACATCTCCCCTTGGGTACTTAGTCATTCAACCAACCATCCCCATTGACCAAGTAACCTTTGGGAAGTCTTCATCAGCTATGGCAATGCATCTAGCTCCTCTCAGCTAATGCATCACCCATTCTCCTCACGCTTGTAGGATATGATAGCAAGTCTCTCTCCTGGAGTTACCTGTGCATCCTTTGATCAAACAGAGAATACACCTTGGTTCATCCTTCATGGATCAGGTCGTCCCTCTTTACCCATGATCAGATCAAACACGTCCTCTCCTGCATAATAACAACCATAATCCATACTTGTGGTCCACGCCACCCAGTACCAGCCTTACCCTCAGGTACCAGTACGACAACAAGCAGACATGCTCTATAACCACACAAGTACAATCAATACATATTAATCCGATAATCTAGCACACTGTTATATCAACTGCATGATTTCGAGTCTAAGGGCTAGTCCTTGCCCAAATCTGACCCTTTT